ATCACTATATACTAAACTTCAGATTTTATTTTGATTTCACTCATTTAACCACTAACATCCTTTTTCTGTTGCAGGATCCCATCCAGGATGATGCATTGCATTTAGTAATCCTGTCTCCTTACGCTCCTCTGGTCTGTGACAGTTTCTCAGTCTTTCTTCGTTTTTCATCACCTTGACAGTTTTGAAGAATATTGGTCAGGTATCTCATAGAATGTCTCTCAATTTGGATCTGTCTGAGGGTTTTTTTGGTTTTTTTTTTTCATTTTTAGACAAGAGTTATGGGTTTGAGGGAAGAATACCACAGAGGTGAAGTGCTCTTGCCATCATATCACCTCAAGGAGCATGTGATATCAACATGACTTATCACTGATGATGTTAACTTTGATCCCTTGGGTAAGGTGGTGTCTGCCAGGTCTCTCCACTGTAAAGTTGTTGTTTCCCCCTTCTATGTTCTCTGAAAGAGAGTTGTTGAGTTCAGACCATCCTCAAGAGGGGATTATGGGAATTAAGTTCCACTTCCTGGAAAGGGAGTACCCATATAAATTTTTTGAATTCTTCTCTAAGGAAGATATACCTCCTTCCCCACTTTTATTCACTTATTCAATCATTTATTTATATCAGTATGGGCTTGTGTGTGTGTATATATGTGTGTGTGTATATATATAAATACATATATATTAATAAATACTTTGGACTATACATTTTGTTGCTCAAATTATTGTACCTGTGGATGTTGGGCACCCCTTTAGATTGGCTCCTGTGTCCTTTTGACATGCTCTCATCTTTCTGTTTCTTGAGCACTTCCTTCATTTCTGGCACTAGAAAATTCTCCAGGCTTATCTTCTATTTTCTCTGCCCAAGCCCTAGGATCTCCCATTTGTCCAAGGAGCCTTAGTTCCTTTTGTCAAGAGAATGGTATTTAGAAGCAACTTCTGGCTGCTGGATGCATGCTGATTTGTTTTATAAATAGCTTCATTGAGATATAATTCACATGCCATACAATTTGCATGCTGACTTTTGAAAACCTGTACTTATGCCTCCTCCATCAGAGCTTAGCACATAGAACTTACTCAGTAGAAAGCCATGGATCTATCCATGGGATCATTTTCCACAAAGAAGACGTGGATCCCCATTCCAGCTCTGCCTCTCCTAAGCTTACTGACACAGAGTAAGACAGTTGTTTAATCTTCCTGGGCCCCAGATACTTTGTCTTTCCAACTCAACATCATCTTCCTCCAGGAAGTAGGCCCAGATTACCATAAACAGCTGGATTAGGTAGTCTTCTTTTCTTTTTTTTTTTTTTTTTTTTTGAGACAGAGTCTCACTCTCTTGCCCGGGCTAGAGTGCTGTGGAGTCAGCCTAGCTCACAGCAACCTCAAACTCCTGGGCTCAAGCGATCCTCCTGCCTCAGCCTCCCGGGTAGCTGGGACTACAGGCACGCGCCACCATGCCTGGCTAATTTTTTCTATAGTTAGTTGTTTGGCTAATTTCTTTCTATTTATAGTAGAGACGGGGTCTCGCTCTTGCTCAGGCTGGTCTTGAACTCCTGAGCTCAAACGATCCACCCGCCTTGGCCTCCCGGAGTGCTAGGATTACAGGCGTGAGCCACCGCGCCTGGCCTAGGTAGTCTTCTTGGTGTCCCAAAGCTCTCTATTTCTTTTATCTGCCACTAACTCCACTGCCCCAGCTTCATGCATTTACCATTCTGTGTTACCCATTGGGCCCTAAGCTGCAAGAGCATGGGCTCTGAAGCCACCCTGCCTGGGTCAAGTCATGGCTCTGCCACTCACCAGCTGTGTTAAATTGCTTTAACCTCTCTGTGCTTCAGTTAACCCAACTGTGAAATGTGATAACAGTAACTAACTCAGGGACATGGGAAGATGAAGTGAGTTGATCCATGTAACTCACTTTGAACAGTGGCTGGCATGTTGTAAATTCTCAATAAATGCTGTTGCTAATATTGCAACTGCTACTATTGGAATTATAATCTTTGTATGC